CACAAAGGTCGAGGTTTCGGGGTTCCAAAAGTGGGCCAAGGCCTTGATCAATGTCACTTGGGGCTCTATATGCAAAAGAGAAAGGAGGTGGCCGATCTTCTTTTCCACGTAGTTCTTCTTGCTTGGGTCGAGAGCATCCCACGTGTCCAACAACACTCGCTTCGGGATCGGGAGGATCCGAAGCTCGTCGAGGCCCATGATATCTAAGCTTATGAGCATTTAAATCAATCACTATTTAATACGAGGTAAATTTAAATTCGCATGGAAAAGAGGGTTGCGATTATTGAATGTGAAGGAGATACAAACCTTTAGCCAAAAAGGATGGATATGTCAAATACAAAAACAAGTCGCATGCCGACTCGTGAGGCTCACTAAAGGTGGGAGTTCTAAAGGCTAAAGGTCTCCATCCCAAATAGATCAAAAGAGTTTTCCCCATTCCGCACTTACGTCGGACAGTCCTCTTTATCACTATTTGAAAATGGGCGGAACCAAAAAAGGATAGCCATGGGTCCTTCCCCACACGGTTTCCACACTTTTGGCACCTCCTATGGGCTTCCTAAGGCGATCGGTGTTTTAGATCGCGGGTTGTGTGTGCAAGGTGTAGTGCTAAAGCAAGTAAAAGCATGCACAACATTTGCTATCAAAATAACACTTCAATTTTCCATTCACACACACATACACCCTTTACACCAACCTGCAAAACAAACATGTCAACAATCACTCCACCCCTTATAACTCCCAACCTACAAAACCAATTAGCAAAAGGCCGCCGGCTGCACATGTAACAACGTTTTCGCCTAGCTAAACATTATTCACTTCCGACGCATAGCAATGTAATTATTTGAACCATGTTGATTCATCACAAATTCACAATTAATATTCTTTGTAATACCAAAAATATTATTTTCCTCTCTTTTTTATAAATAAAAAAGGGGTAGCTTGGTCCGTACTAAAACTCGTTAAAAGAAGAGTCTTGTCCACTTTGTTCAATATCAAAATTTTACAATTTTTTAAGAAAATCTAAATTAATAATTGCCACGTAGCCATGTAATTTTTTTTTCGTAGCAACTTACGTAATGACTTTCATTTGTGAGCAACTAAACAATTTGACGAGAGAGCGTGTCTTATATTGATCAATATTTGATCCATGATCACGAGATAATATATTTCACCAATATTGAATAGGCGAATGTCAAATCAATTAGTGAGACCAATAGGGGGAATAAGAAATTATGAGGATCAAAATTGTGGAATTGCAATGTCACGCCCCTAAACCCACGAGTGCACGACACCCCTCATCGGTCGTTATGACTTGACGTTAGAAATTATCCGAAAATATTAATATTTAATTTAGGAAATCAATTATTTTATAATAAAAATATTAATATTTAAATCCAAAAAATTATTTATTTAATAATAAAATAATACTAAATTTCGAAAATAATCAATCCAATCATTTAGCTAAATACGCTAATACGGTGAGATCCAATTTCGGAATCACCATCCAAACATAAACGATCACAATTCGGTATTAAAAATCATTCAAAATATTAATATATTAATTTTCAAAATTAAAATAATTAATTATTTATTAAAATTAATTTTTAATAATAAAATAATAATATTTAATTCCGAAATTTATTTATTTAATAATGAAATAACTATTAAATTCCGAAAAATAATCAATCCAATCATTTAGCTAAATACACTAATTTACACGGTGAAATCCAACTTTGGAATCACCATCCAAACATAAACAATCACAATTCAGTATTAAAAATCATTCGAAATATTAATATATTAATTTTCGGAATTAAAATATTTATTTATTTATAATAATTTTAATAATTAAATAATAATATTTAATTCCGAAATTTATTTATTTAATAATAAAATAATACTAAAATTCCGAAAATAATCAATCCAATCATTTAGCTAAATACGTTTATTTATACGGTGAAATCCAACTTCGGAATCACCATCCAAACATAAACGATCATAATTCGGTATTAAAAATCATTCGAAATACTAATATATTAAATTTCAAAATTAAAATATTTTATTTATTTTAATTTTTTTAATAATAAAATAATAATATTTAATTCCGAAATTTATTATTTAATAATAAAATAATATCAAGTTCCGAAAATAATCAATCCAATCATTTAGCTAAATACGCTAATTTATACGGTGAAATCCAACTTCGGAATCACCATCCAAATATAAACGATCACAATTCGGTATTAAAAATCATTCGAAATATTAATATATTAAATTTCGAAATTAAAATATTTATTTTATTTTATTTTAATTATTTTTTAATAATAAAATAATAATATTTAAATCCGAAATTTATCTATTTAATAATAAAATAATACTAAATTCCGAAAATAATCAATCCAATCATTTAGCTAAATATGCTAATTTATACGGTGAAATCCAACTTCGGAATCACCATCCAAACATAAACGATCACAATTCGATATTAAAAATCATTCGAAATATTAATATTTTAATTTTTAAAATTAAAATATTTATTTATTTTAATTATTTTGTAATAATAAAATAATAATATTTAATTCCGAAAATATTTTTACTTAATAAAATAAATAATGATAATAAAATAATCGATAGTTTATCACCACATTCGCGATAACTTATCACCCACGTGCACCGATAGTTTATCACCTAAATTAATATTAACTTATCAAGCATACCGATAACCTATCGCTAAAATTTCCGATATCCTATCATTTAATCTCACTTAACTAAACATAAACTTAATCTAATCTACCCTAAACAAGTTTAATACAGTAAACTAGAGATAAGGGGTTAACTTACCAGTCTAAGGCGACGACCAGGTGCTCCGCGGTGGTTTCCGGCTCGGCACGGCGAGCAGCGGACGGGCGGCGAACGGGTGCGGCGAAGGGAGCGGCTGCTGGTGTGGTGGTTCGGGGCTGATTCACGGCGGAAATGGCGGCTGGTGGTGGTGGCCTCGGCGGCTGGAACAGTAGCGGCAAGGCGGACGGACAGGCGGGGCTGGCGCGGCGAAGGGAGCGGCTGCTGGTGTGGCGGTTCGGGGCTGATTCACGGCGGAAATGGCGGCTGGTGGCGGCGGCCTCGGCGGCTGGAACAGCAGCGGCAAGCGGCGAGGCGGACGGACCGACGGGGCTGGCGCGGCGAAGGGAGCGGCTGCTGGTGTGGCGGTTCGGGGCTGCTCGGGGCTGATTCACGGCGGAAATGGCGGCTGGTGGTGGCGGCCTCGGCGGCTGGAACAGCAGCGGCAAGCGGCGAGGCGGACGGACCGGCGGGGCTGGACCGGCGAAAGGCGCAACTCGCCTGAAACAGGCCGAGCAGAAGAAGACAGCGAGGAAGAAGAAGAGAGGAAGAAGAAAAAGGGGAGAGGAGAGAGAGAGTTGGTGGGGTCGGTGAGGGGAGTAGCAGGAGTGAAGTGACGATCGGCCTAACAGACCTCCTCTCTCGGTCTATGTCCTCGGCCACCGCTGCCTCCTCAGGCCGCCCCATCGTCATCCTCACCTTGACCACTGTCCTGTCGGTGCTTCGCAGCATGAACGGCTTCGCCAGCACCACCACCAAGTGTTGCGCTACGTCCCAGTGGTAGTAGAAAAAGCACTCCACTTGGGTGAAGAAGTGCCTCCTGTAGCTCCATGATCTCTCCGCCAGGAATGCAGCTTTCCAAGTGGCGTCGGTGGGTGCGGCGATCATGACGTTGTACACAGTCATGTTGGCAACCTTCAACGTCGGATAACTGGGCGCGAGCTACTATTCTTAACGGTGTCGTTATCTTAGGATTACCCATGTACAATATCTTGCCCAACGTTCTCACTTTCATCGAGCTAAGAACAGTGTAAGTGTCATAACTTTTGTACAGCACTTACTTACTTGAAATGTAGTTAACCCGACGACTTTCAACGTGGGATAATCGGGCCCAACAAGAAGGCAAAGGAAGACGGCGAAAACTAGTAACACTGTGAAACATATCAACACGACACTGTTCGAGATATTTATCACTTTTTATAAGATATTTTCTTATGTAAGAGATAATTATGAAATTTTATGTTGATTATTTGTATCTTTCATGATTGCACGCATGTTGCACGAATGTTGCACATGTGTTGCATGTATATCTCCCTTTGATTATACATTATCTTGATTGAGATATTATCTTAGAATAGTAATCTAATAAAACTTATAAATAGGCTAATGTATTCTTCGTTAATATAAACATCACAATATACACAAAATTTCACATTTCTCTCTTTCACATCTCTTCATTATTAATAATAGCTACGAATTACTATCTAAGAATTACTAAATGAGAAAAGTAAACATTAGGCATACGGAGGATATGAATTATGGATTATCAATCTCTTTAATGTTTTATGATCATGTACACCACTATTAAGCTTTTTTATGTACACATTGAAAAACAAGTTAGTCTCTCGTTGCGAAAAAGAAATTTTACTTGGCTCTTATTAACTGTAATCTTTCATGATTGCACGCATGTTGCACGAATGTTGTACATGTGTTGCACGTATATCTCCCCTTGATTATACATTATCTTGATTGAGATATTATCTTAGAATAGTAATCTAATAAAACTTATAAATAGGCTAATGTATTCTTCGTTAATATAAACATCACAATATACACAAAATTTCACATTTCTCTCTTTCACATCTCTTCATTATTAATAATAGCTACGAATTACTATCTATGAATTACTAAATGAGAAAAGTAAACATTAGGTATACGGAGGATATGAATTATGGACTATCAATCTCTTTAATGTTTTATGATCATGTACACCACTATTAAGCTTTTTTATGTACACATTGAAAAACAAGTTAGTCTCTCGTTGCGAAAAAGAAATTTTACTTGGCTCTTATTAGCTGTAATCTTTCATGATTGCACGCATGTTGCACGAATGTTGCACATGTGTTGCATGTATATCTCCCTTTGATTATACATTATCTTGATTAAACCTGCGCACGCATCCTCAATGGGATGATCTCCGTGCAATACACGTCCGTGATTGGTCCCAGCCCGATCGAGAAGAAGATGACGTAAAGAATCGCCGAGACTTCCACTGCCCACGAGACCTTCAAGGTGAGGAACAGTCCGACAAACATGAGCGACAAGAACACGCCGCCCATGCTCGCTCGAACGTGGCCGCCGCCCGACCCAATCGGCCGAGGTAGGCGGCAAGGAGAAAGACCAATATCTTGGCTATGTCAAGCACCATATTTGCAAGAAGCTTCCCGACAGACATGGTGATGCCAACAGTCTCCAAAACCTTTGGGCTAAAGAGCGCCAAGGTGTCCATGCCACATGCCTATTGGACGACCTGGATTCCAACAGCACATAGTAGCATATGGACCATAGACCAGGTCGGGTGGAGTATATCTCGCCATACTCCGGTGTCCTGGTCGGCGATCGTGTAGGCGTCGTCGTCGAACTCTTCAGGTATTCCGGCAGCCTTCTTGATGTCGGCAAACCGGAGCGTGGCCTCCTCCTCCGACCTGGAGGTCTTGGCGAGGATGCGCTTGGCGTCGCGCAAGCGACCTCGCATGACGAGCCACTGGGGAGATTCCGGCAAGGCAAAAATTCCAAAAACAAGCAGCACCGAGGGGACGGCTCCCGTGGCAAGCATCCAACGCCACCCGCGGCTGGGGCGGTGTTTGGAGAAGTAATAGCTGGTCAGATTGGCCACCTGGTTGCCAATGCCGATGAACATCTGAAATAAGTTCAAGACAAAAATTTGATGAGAAATAGAAAAAGTGATAAAGGAAGCTACAAAATTAAGAATAAAAGAAAGGAAAATGAATGAGTGAGCACCTGAGGGCAGGAGGCGTAGAAGCCGCGGGAGAAGAGAGGAGAAATCTCCGTCACGTACATGGGGGCAATCATGCTAGCGAAGCCGGCGCCCAAATTGGCAATGACTTGGCCGACCAAGAAAACTGCATAGTTCCGGGCAAAACCCATGACAAGGGGGCCAACGAAATACATAGCCCCCGCCACCACAATCGTATTGCGGCGGCCATACCGATCAGAAATCCATCTCGCCATCACCAATCCAAACATCGTGGCGACGCTCATGGCCCCCGCCACAATATTAAGATGGAGGTCGGATACTTTCAGGTCTATCTTCATGTACGCCACCGACCCGCTTATCGCTGCTTGTACTATCAAAATTTTAAAAAAATAAAATAATAAGAAAAATCTGATTCACCATACAATGTTTATAACTATATATATATATATATATATATATATATATATATATCAGAAATTCAAAGAATAAAAATAAAAAAATCCCGTGAAGTTGTTTTGTTTTTTAACTTGCTTTTTTAACTTCAAAACTATTTTTCAAATGATTTTCACATGCTTCACAATATCAAACAAGAGAGAGAGAGGGGGGAGACCAACCATAAGCTAACGAAAAGGAGGTTATGCAGGCGGCAAGGGTGTAGAGGCAGACATGCTTCTTGCAGACCGATCTTGCCGGAGGGTGGAAGTCCTCGATCGTTCCTTGTCTAGCAAAAAAAGGCATACCAGATTAATCTAGCTAGTAGTATTTAATAGTTGAAGAAAACCATATGGTCTAGCTATATATTTTCCGCTAAAATGCTAGGTAATAAATAATTAAGAGATAACAACCGTCAATACTCGTTTTATAAGAAATAATGAGCATGGATGTGAAAACGGACCTTATGTGCTGATCATCGTCGTTCTCATCCCTATTCGACTCTGTCTGAGACTGGTGGCTACCATCACTCGCTTCAATGTGCACTTCTTCTTCTATTTCGCTGACTCGAGCAGCAGGAGCCAACATATCTTCATCTTCGTCATCCTCTCCTCCTCCAAAGAGCCGTAATAAGAACGGCACAAAACTCTCATCTTCGCCAAATGGCTCTGACAGAGCCAACACATCTGCATCTTCATCTTCCTCTCCTCCTCCAAAGAGCCGTAATAAGAACGGCACAAAACTCTCATCTTCGCCAAATGGCTCTGATAGAGCCAACACATCTCCATCTTCGTCGTCCTCTCCTCCTCCAAAGAGCCGTAATAAGAACGGCACAAAACTCTCATCTTTGCCAAATGGCTCTGACAAAGCCAACACATCATCTTCGTCGTCCTCTCCTCCTCCAAAGAGCCGTAATAAGAATGGCACAAAACTCTCATCTTCGCCAAATGGCTTTGACAGACACACTGGCTGCTCAGATGCCATTGTGTCGTAGCACGATCCACATGCACACGTGAATAAATCCATCGCTGCTTGGAAAAAAATGATAAATAACATATACCAGTACAGTCGGTTTCAATTCCAATATACAATCCCAATAAGCATGATAAAGGTTGATTCCCACCGAAGATTGGTGGAAGGACGCCGACACCCAACATTAGGAAAAAGAGGTTTAAGAAAATGATAATTATTAGGAATGATCGATTCCCGGTCCGGTCCGACCGAGGAACTGGGAACCGGATTGAGAGGACCGATTCCCAGTTTCTGGGACCAGGAACCAGACCGGTTCCACGTTACATACAATGCATATTAAGAGGAATTCGCAATAGCTGCACTTCTTCTCACATGAAGACCTTCCAATTTTTGTTCTACTACAAACTTATCACAACCAATATGAACAACCTAAGAGGTATCCCAATAATGAGCCGAAACATGTACAGATTTTATCAACTTTTCAAAAAAAGTATAAGCGCACAATTTCATGCCATCCTTAACATCACTTTACCCATGCGGTCTAACTTTTTACATGCTACAATTTCAAAGTCATGGCGACATATAAAACTCATTCCTACACAGTCAACAAGACATGCTCTATTCTGTAGCAAATATCCTAAGCACGTTTCCCCTGAAAGATCTCACATAACACACAAACATGCATAACCGTGAGCGCGCATAACAATCACGACAACAGCAAGGAATCCTTGCTCATGATTGCACGCATGTTGCACGAATGTTGCACATGTGTTGCACGTATATCTCCTTTTGATTATACATTATCTTGATTGAGATATTATCTTAGAATAGTAATCTAATAAAACTTGTAAATAGGCTAATGTATTCTTCGTTAATATAAACATCACAATATACACAAAATTTCACATTTCTCTCTTTCACATCTCTTCATTATTAATAATAGCTATGAATTACTATCTAAGAATTACTAAATGAGAAAAGTAAACATTAGATATACGGAGGATATGAATTATGGACTATCAATCTCTTTAATGTTTTATGATCATGTACACCACTATTAAGCTTTTTTATGTACACATTGAAAAACAAGTTAGTCTCTCGTTGCGAAAAAGAAATTTTACTTGGCTCTTATAAGCTGTAATTGCACACCAATAGATGGTACTCGAACATAGTATTTTAGTAGTTATTTATCAAAGTATGACATTTTTCTTGAATTAGATATGCTTAAACCAATTTTCTTAATTTTTTTTATATGGAGTTCCCTTTATACTAATTGAATTGATGAAAAAATATTACAAGATTGGTTGGGAAAAATTATTTAATTAAAGATGCTAATATGAAGATATCATGACAATAAGGGCCAAGGAATTTATGTTATCTTAAATGAGTATAGAATCTAACTCTTATAACTTCATATATTTTTTAATAATTATACCAGAAAGCTATTAGATACTTAAACTCATATAAAAGGAAAGTAATGAAAGTATAATTTTTTAAAATGTGATCAAAGATTGATGTAAAAATCAATAAAAGAAAAAAATCACATGCAAATGTAATAGATGAATTAAATCAACCAAATATCATTTTCATATTTGTGATTATTTGTATTTCGATAGTTAATAATTCTGATTTTTTTTCCTTTAAACTCACTTTTAGCTAAAAATTGTTATTTAAGGGAATTGATTTCCCAATAAAACTAGACAAAAAAGTCATCCGGTTCATACAAGCTATGCCCTATTCGCTCCGCTTCCAGATGCGAGGAATGAGCTTTGATTCCTTCAACAAATTGATCCTTGCATGCGAGCACACTGAATATTCATACAAACACTCGAACGAAGTCCCGAGGACGAAAGGATCAATGACTCACGCCCTAGTTTTAAGCACTACGCCACAGTTTTAAGCACTAATCTCATCTGAAGATTGACTTTTTCTTGCTCTTAGAAGACCAGGGCATATTTGATCGTTTGCACACTCCTCTGCGTAGGGAGTATTTATCGCTTTCTAGGATTTCAATTATCGTTTATGCTTTCATTCTTAAGACTTGATTGCTTTAATTACTCTTTCAATAATGTAATTTATTTGATTCAATCAACAAAAGAGGATGTCGGATTGGCTGATTAAATTAGCAGTAGTTTGAAAGTTACTTTTCTAACAAAACATACTATATACATGGATATACATCATCGATAGTTGATACACCGAAACTTACGGTTCTAACATAGAAAGATACCAATCACAATGAATGGGCTCTTATCATCATTACTTGATTCACTGATGATTACTTTTCCATATGAAAATCATCTTCTTGTATAGATTAAATCAATCATTAATAATAAGTTGAAAGTAATTATGTATTGTAGAATGCTAATGACTGAGCCAACGTACGAAGAGCCTGACCATCACGGTTGGATGTTCTTTATCCTGATTACTGTTGCCAGATCAATGTGTGGTACAGATTTTCATTCTAACCCTCCCAGAATATTCATGTAATCAATATGCAGCAAACCTAATCCTGTGTATAACGATATTGTTCCGATTGCCGTACGTTGTTTTCTCTTTCTCGTTGCCTTTTTAATGAAACACGAAAAGAAGAAAACAATCAAACTAAAGCCACAAATTACAAGCGTGTCAAGCTCATGTCAAGCGAGCGCAGAGAGTACGGAGATAGAAAGGTATTCGACAAAACGACATTACTGGTGAAGCGTGACCCTCTCCTTGATTATGGACTTTCATGAAAACGAGGTCACCTTTGTGAACCCTAGTTATTACCTTCTCAAATTTGTTCATGGACATGGTGAATGATTCGATTTTTTTTTGCTTTGTTTCTTTTACCACATTGCCTGAGTTTAAATTCATCTGAGCCGTGTGTTCGGATTGTTTAGCACTTCAAGGTTTTTTCCTAAATTTTCTAAGATAATCCAAGTCAATTGAACAAAGTGATCTTCTTGTACACTTTCGGCAATGGATTGGGTGATGGTCTTCCATCCTAAGGAGAGATGCGTTCGTGCGTTTTGTCAAAGCTATGGTCTCTAGAAATTCAATAGTTTTAATAACTAAAGTCTTGTAGCAATCCATCGATGCCATATTAAAGCATCAAATCCAACTTCAAATTAAAAGTTAATCGATTCTAATATGCCTTAAGCAGTCTCAAGGACTTTGTAAGATTCGAATTGCGTAAACAAAAGAGTGGACCATTAATTGAAAACAAATAAGGAAATTGCGAGGAACTTTTGTTGAATTAGGAAAAGAGCTGGCTTTAATTTTTTGGGCGCATGCTTGCTTGATGACTGGATTTGAACAATAAACTTCTCAATGGAAAATCATGAAGTGCATAGAGAACGTAAAAAGCTTACAGGACTTGACTGGAAGATTTTATAATTAAAGACAAATAACTAAACCTAGGAAATTTAATTGGCTTCGTATTTCAAATTCAAAACTAAAGCAAAATCTAATCCTGAATAATCTTCGAAAATCTGATGGGCTTCTTGATTGATGTTGTACGATGCTTGTTCCAAGTGTATTGTTTGTGTTGAATGTCTTGAGAGATATAGGTGTCATCCTTGATTCTTCCCGCATCTTTAATGAGTCATTCCATTATGCATCATAATCTTCCTTCGTAAGAATCTCTAAGTGTCTTTTGACTTGTGCACTACTTCATGGATGACTTGTAACCGCTCCAAATCCTTTAGATGCAGTTCTTCCTTGGTTGATGGATCCTTCTTGACCAAGGGTGTGCAACGGGAACCACCCGGACCGGGACCGGACCGGACCGGACCGGTCGGTTCTGGGCGGGCCTAGGGGGTGTTGGTCCGGTCCCCGGTTCCCATTTTTGGAACCGGTGGACTGTCGGTCCGGTTCCCGGTTCCATGGTGAGAACCGGACCAACCGGACCAATATGACCGGACCGATCATTTATGCATATTTTTTAAAAATTAGCTAGTTATTTTTTTATCTTTTCAAGGAATTTATTTGTTATTACTGACTTGCCAATTTTGTGAGCCATCAACCTGCTACGAATGGGTTGACTTATTTATTTTTTTTTAAATTTCTAAACAGTTACTTTACTTTCCCAATTTTCTGCCTTCTACTTACTTTCCCAATTCTTCCTCTCGGTAACCCTAACCACAGTAACTTGAGCAAAGCCAAGCCTTCCCGCGTCCAAGCCTTCCCAGTTTCCCTTTTGCCGCCTCGCCTCACGCCTTGCTCTGAGCAAGTCGCTCGACGTCGGACGCCTTTCCCTCTTGTAGCCTCGCCTCTCGCCTCGCTCGACGTCCTCTCGCGGCCTCGCCTCACGCCTCGCCTCACGCCTCGCGGCCTCACCTCACACCTTGCTCTGAGCGAGTCGCTCGACGTCGATCGCCTTTTCCTCTTGCAGCCTCGCCTCTCGCCTTGCTCGACGTCCTCTCGCGGCCTCGCCTTAGGTCTCCCTTTCCGCCTCGCGGCCTCGCCTTCCGCCTCGCGGCCTCACCTCACGCCTCGCAGCCTCGCTTCAAAGTTTCGCCAAATTCACTATGACGATGCAGTCACACGTGAGCTTCCATTTTTGTTATTTCTATGTCCCTCCAAAGTATAAATGATCGTCTTCAAATTGTTGTGCTTTTTGGCAGATTACTTGATGGAGAACAAGTTGGAGGTGAAGAGACTACGGTGGAAGATGATGGATTTTTGAAGGCCTTCAAGGGTTTTTAGTTGACGTTAAACCTAGAAGATTACGTCGGTGAGCTCTCTCTCTCTCTCTCTCTCTCTCTCTCTAGTGTTGTACCTTTCTTTCTAGCTGACTTGATCTGTCGTGGAATTAATTTGTGCGGTGGGGGGCTCCTGATGATTTATGCATAGTTTGGTCATCTCTTTTAATGCGTTCAAGAGTCTGAACCACCTGTGATTTTCAGGGAAATTTTTTCTGGATGAGTTTGTTCAAGTAGGCTAACAAAATATCAAGCTTCTTAGATTGTCTGTCAATCACAAAACGAGGAACAAATCTTGTATATTTCACGAGATTCATCATTACCTCACTTGACCCTCAATCTCAAACAAACAGCCCTTTCCTGATTTCCTATAATCAGTAAGTTTTTCTCACTCAATTTGCTGAATTTGGTGGCTGAATTTGATGGCTGTTCTGGTGTGATGGCTCATTTCTATGTTTTGCTTGATTTAGGCGATCTATTTACATGTCAATGGAAGTGGATCAATCCAATGATGCTATGAATCCAATAATGGACTCACTAGAACATGAAAGTGAAGAAAACCTCGAAGAAGCATCCGACACAAACAAGGTATCTAATGCTCGTCCTGCTAGTTCTGGAAAACGAAAATCAGCAGCCTGGCTTCATTTTCGTAATGGCAAAACTGAGAATGGGAAAACCGAGAAGATTTGCAATTATTGTGGGGTTATATATTGGTACTGTGTTGATAACGGTACTTCTACTATGTTGAAGCACTTGAAAAAATGCAATAAGTATCCTCGCAACATAGATAAGAAGCAAAGATTTTTTACCCCACGTAGAGTGGATGGGACTAAAATGACAATGGGGTAGACTAGTACTGGTAGTACAAATGCCTTATCGACATGGAAATTTGATCAGGATCGTTGTAGGCAAATGCTTGTTCGGATGATCATAATGGATGAGCAACCTTTTTCGATGGTTGAGCACGTCGGATTTCGTGATTTTATTAATCAATTACAACCTCTCTTCAATCACATCTCGCGATTTACTGTGGCTAGAGATTCCATGAAGTTGTATCTTTGTGAAAAAAGAAGTTTGAAGACTTACTTTCACAATCTTAAGTCTAGGGTTGCACTTACTACTGATACCTGGAGTTCCATTCAGAACTTGAATTATTTATGTCTCACCGCACATTTTATTGATGATGATTGGAAATTACATAAAAGAATTATCAATTTTGTGGTGATGCCTAGTCACAAGGGCAAAGATATTGGGAAAATGGTTGAGAAATGCATCTATGAGTGGGGATTAGAGAAAAAAAGTGTCCACAATCACCGTGGATAATGCTAGTTCGAATGATGTTGCCATTGGTTTTTTAAAAGAAAAATTATCAAGAGATAGGCTATTGATTTTAGAAGGTGATGTTTTACACATGAGGTGCACGGCTCATGTATTAAACTTGATTGTGAGGGATGGATTGACCGAGGTACGTGATTCTATTGCACGTATTCGGAGCGTGGTTAGGTATGTGAGAAGTTCTCCCATGAGAGCTAAAACATTCCAAGGTTGCATTGAGAGTGCAAGGATCACTTATAAGGGTTCAGTTTGTCTTGATGTCACAACTAGGTGGAACTCTACTTATCTCATGTTGGACACTGCCTTAAAGTTCCGAAAAGCTTTTGAAAGGATGGAAGAAGATGATCCTTCTTTCTTGACTGAGCTTGACTATGAAACTCCTAAACATGAAGATTGGGAAAGTGTTAGAATTCTTGCCGTATTTTTGAAGAAGTTTTACGATGCCACCAGTAAGATGTCTGGGACTTTGTACATTACTTCGAATGATTATTTTAATGAGATAGCTACTTTATATAAAACTCTAAAACAAGCGGAGAAGGCAACGGATCCTAGTTTGAAAGCTATGGGTGCAAAGATAAAGGAAAAGTTTGACAAATACTATGGGAGTTTCGAAAAAGTAAATATGATGGTGTTGATTGCGGTAATATTGGATCCAAGAAGAAAGATGAATTATGTGCGATATTGTTATAGACTAATCTATGATGATAGTACGAAAGTTGATGAAATGTACAATAAGGTGAGGATTGCCTTGGAACGATTGTTTCATTTTTTTGAGAAAGCTTATCTTGGTTCTTGTGAAAGAAATTTGGGTGGTCAATTTTTCATTGATACTAGTAGTAGCTGGGATCATGATAGCCATGAGGAGGGTGAGAAGGATGACCTTGATTCGGTTGAGGATTTCACTTCAGAAAAGGCGTTTGATATCTTTCTTCACGAGGAGAAAAAAGTGTCCGCGGGCAAGTTATCTGAACTCGATAAGTATCTTGAAGCCGAACGTGAAGAAAGTCGTGATCTTGACCTTTTGATGTGGTGGAAAACTGCTGGCCAAAAGTTTAAAATCCTTTCTATGATGGCTCGGGATATTTTATCAATTCCTGTAACAACCGTTGCTTCGGAGTCGACTTTCAGTACATCTGGTCGTGTACTTGATGGCTTTCGAAGTTCTTTGACTCCTAGAGTGGTGGAAGCTTTGATTTGCACTCAAGATTGGTTAAGGATGGTTACCATGCCGATTAATGTTGAAGAGTGCATCCAGAATGCGGAAAGGTTTGAATGGGGTAAGTCATTGATGTATCTTTTTATCTTGTAATTCTTTTATATATCTAATAAGTGAATACTTTATTTAATATTTTGATTTTTTAGATATGGATGATGTTAACTCAGAGCTTACCAATAAATAGAGTTTGCTGGTTCAAAATAGAAGAAATATATGTGGTGAGATTTTCCATTAATTATTTGAGTTCAATTTCTAGTAATTCTAGTTTAAACTAATGTTGAGTGCTCATATATACTTATTGCAGGGCTATCAGCAAGTTTAGCCATGCTTTTTGGTCTCTCAGCTTTGATCATATTTTCGGGCTCTCGACTTGTGGTTTTGGAACAAACCTCCAGCTCCTTTACTAATTTCTTTTGACGCTAAGGAAGTCGGAAACAAGCTGTTGCTTCCACAAAGAGGTTGGAGGAAGGTAGGGCAATCTACTAGAACATGAGCTTAAGTTATTGAAATGGTTGTTTTTGCACCTTCAACGTATGGTTCTTGCTTGGTGTGCAATGCACTACCATTAGATGGTGCAGGGGAGGCTTGATAAATTAATGGCATTTCTGATGCAGGGAAGCCATTATCTATCTTGGACGGGATTTTCATGGCAATTAAGGATGACATAGGTTGCCACCCACAGGTAAAGTTTGTTTCGGAAATTATAATTTGCCGCGGCACTTCATCTATGGCCAGATTGAGTGTTGAACTTCAACACTTAAATAAATGTAATTTTTGACTTCCAATGGATAGTATTGAACAATGGCAGAAGTGTGTATTGAACTTTTGTTGATATGGGGTTCTACTCTTTTTTTTTTTGCCTCTCTAATAACACGTGTTTAAATTAGGGGATGTATATTTTTGGAAGCCCACATGGGACATATATTTTTTTTTTTACAAGTATTTGATTCATTTGAACCGAACCGGACCGGACCGGACCGGTCGGTCCGGTCCGGTCCCCGATTCCAAGACTAGTCGGTCCGGTCCACGGTCCCAAAAATTGGGAACCGGTCCTCTCGGTCCGGTTCCCGGTTCTTGGATGGGACCGGACCGGACCGGGAACCAATCACCCCTATTCTTGACTTATACTTCAACTTCCTTTTATGTTTTGAGTTAATCAATTGTCATCACGTGTCATGAACTCCACTTAAACTCTGTCCGTCGGAAACTCACGATCGATGAGCACTTCAAACATTTCATGATTTGGTTTCTTGGGTCATGTGTTGTTATGACTTTTAGGTTCAATGAGCTTGTTTAGGCATTTTATTGAGTAGGCCTTATGTTTTAATTGTATTTTTATGACGCGGTGTCAATGCACTAACAAGTTGCCAGCTTGCTCTTTGAATTAATATTTGCTTTGATGGCGTGTTATGGAATGCGAGCTTCTAACCAATTCATCTGGACAAGCATAATCGAAAGTTCGTTTGCGTCCGTGCTGCGCCATACCAAGGGTTGGCATTCTAATATCTAGGTCGATTGCTTCTAGCAAAATCCAACAAACAGGGAAAGAATTCCTTCAAGTGCAGATCTCCTATTCCACTATTGATCGATACTTAAACCAACCTGATGATGGCCATTCAAGCCCTGCCCAGTCATTCTTTATCTCACGGTCCTCTCTTTGAACGACAGGAAAGATACAGGGGGAGGAAACTCATAAACCACAGAAAAATCGGCTAGAAAGGCCTGCCATTAGGGAGGCAGGAGTTATCAAAGTTAAACTAGCGCTATTGATTCGATACAATAGTCATTAAGCAACCGAAGTTCCCACTGACTTGTTAGGCAGTTCCAACAGTCAGAATCACACGCGAGCGCACAGAGTTGAGGGACGTCGCATCTGTCAATTGGGGTGAAAATACCATCCAAGTGATCTGGCTTTTAGCCACGCCATTCCAAGTCCTTCCACCAACTCCTCTCCCCCTTGATTTTCTTCAAATGCTCACTGGAAACTTCATTGGTCGAAAGAGACTTGAGACTCGGGCCATAAAAACTCAACCTTTCTAACCTTGGTGCAATCCGTAGCCACAGGGCATACTGGAAAGTTTAGGTACTAATGGAGGGACAACTTCTTCAAAATAGGGAGGAAATAAGACGTCTCACGGACTTTGCCAGTAGAAGTTTGGCAGGTAAGTAGGCTTTTGATGGCTGGGCAGTCCTCAATTATGACCTCCTCCAAATTGTTGAGATTACCAAGCATCTCAAGTGAGAAAATAACAGTCAACTCGGGGCATTTACACAATGTCAATAACTTGAGAGAAGACAAACATCCCTTCTGCACTGAGCCCTTCCAAATGTTCCTAAAGTTTCTCATGTAGTACACATATTTGATTGATTCAAGACAGATGCTTTTGCAGTGAGATTCAGTCAAAGCCTCTTGATGCATGGTATCAGATGCATCTTTGAGCACTTCAAGCTCATTACACTGCCCCAGAACATAGCATTTGAGTTGCCCCATGCTATCTATCCCTAGTTCGGACAGCTTCTTGAGATTAGCATGCCTTTCTAAGAAAGCCATCTAATTGTTGCAGGATGTCCTTAATATCTATGAAGACACCGTCACCAGTTATGTACCTCAAGTATCGGTTGCTCCGTTCCAGCCCGAATTCAATATCCGATGGTAGTCGATTCATGATGCGGTTAGCATGATTGCCAATGAGAAGTATTTGAGCTAAATATGGATGCTCCATTGATTTCCTAAGCTGATTAAACTGCCTCAAAAGTTCCAATGTAGGAAAGGAGAACTTGATAGTGCTTAGCCTTTTCAAGTTGCAAACTTCAGATACAACACCTTCAGCACATGTATACCACCATTCAACATCGGCATCCACATCGAGATTAAGTTCTTCCAAGTGCAATAGAGAAGATATTACCCCATGAGGAATCACTGTTTTATACTCATTTGAAGGTTCAGTTCCAGAAATTGAGATTATCAAACAAGTCAGATTAATCAAACTTTCAATTTCCTTGGGAAGATTCGTAATCTTCGTCCCCTCAAGATCAAATACCTCCAGCTGCTTGAGCCTTCCAATTGCTGGCGATATCAATCTCAAAAGGACACAATCATTCAAGAAAAGTCATTTGAGGCTGACAAGGTGAGATATTGACTCTGGCAAGTACCGAATGCAGGTTCTAGACAAATTCAAACCGTCAAGAGCAGCCATTTAATTGAAAAATGAAGAAGGAAGCTTTCTCAGCTTAGAATTTCTTTGCAGAAATAATGATGAAAGTGAAGGGCACCTTGGTTCCTCCAAGAGCTCAGAAATGCTTGTTTGCATCAAACATGCCTCTTTTGCACTCTCCCATTCCTCAACCTCTGGTGGCTCTGTGAAATCCAAGCCACCCCGCATCAGAAACACACGACTTTCCTCGAGTTGAAAAATTAAGTTCACTAATATATGCTGATCCAGATCTTGAAACTTCACAAATTGCTCATTCTCATCAACTTCGAGCAGGTTAGCATTGACAAGATCTTTTAGAATTTTTTGGTCGTCATCATGGGTGTCTACCATACCATCCCTGACCCATAGGCCTCTGGCAGTCTCAGCTGCTATCTCTTGGGAATTGTTACAAAGAGCAAGATTTTTCAAGCATCTTCTAGTTTTAGCATCTGTTAGTTGGTCAATGCCAAATTTGATACATTAACCATAAGAGCTTCTATACCTGCTTCATGACTTGCAGGTCGAAACGTCCAAGCGCATGTTTCCAGATTAAATGTCATTAACATTTTGCAGTGCCTTTGCCATTAGAATAACATCATGCGAATAGTAACTGCACATCCTAACTATTTCCCTAGCTAAGACTTGAACATTAGTTGAATGAACAACTTCACCTACATTCTGACGAAATAATTCCCAGAACAAGAGATCGTCCAAACATATTTTCTTATCCACTTCGATTTCATCACACAATTGTCCTGATCCATTCACAAAGACTACCTTGCTACCAATTGGTGGTGTTGTATCAGAAATTCTCATCGTCTCCAACTTCATGGGTTGATTAATGCCAACAATAAGAGTAAAAACTTGAAGCCTTCCATGCATTCACCACTGAATGTGGCATTTCAACCGCGTCGGCTTTAGTTAAATTAGAAGATAGCTACCTTTCTGATCTTCAGCGGCAGGTGGACGGGCTTTCACATGAACAATGGATGATCAGACTGAACTAGTGACGGGCTGAACAGAGATCAATTTTTCCTGAAGCAGTAGCAATTACAAAACGTCAGTACATTTCATCCGCAAACATTATTGATAGTGTTGAAATAATATCTTGAGTTCGTGCCCAACGTCAGATTGAAGTGCCTGGAGGCCTTGCCTGTTGGCCCGGAGGTGGACTCCTTGCCTGGAGCCCGCCTGGCTGGGTACCTCGGATGTGTGTGTGTGTGTGTGTGTTTTCTTTACCTAGGATGTGTGTTCAGTGCTGGGTTTTTTCTCGGGCATAGCCCAGTAGGATTTATTCCGTAAATTTGTTATGTATTTGATTTGTATTTTCATCCACAGAGAAGATTAAGCCACTAGAAATATCTTCAATAGAATTTTCCGTCATTTCTCTATGTTATTCATAATGAACAGGGAAGTCCTAGAGGGCTAGTTTGTGAGTTTAAGGGTGTAACACTGGGGGCTTGGCAAACACTTGAGAAGATTCGACGCGCAACTGGAGAGCATGGCCTAACATTTTGTCACTAAACAAAAACTTGATTCGTGGCTGATCTTATGTGGCCATTCTTATCCCAAAGTAGATAAGATAAAAAAAAAGGTAATATCGCAATTCTCATCCCAAAGCAAAAAAGAAGAAAAATAAAAGGTTATATGGCTGTGGCAAGCTGGCGAGCTCCGATATGCACCGTTCTCCATCCTTAAATAGGTGAATGATGTTGATATCCGAGCAATGTACGCCACGATGACGAAGATATCAGCTACGCTCATATTGATTTGTTCTTTATTCGTAACTAGCTACGTATGAGGTCTTATGTGTAGTATGTATGTTGAGATCAATAACAATTTGCTGGATGGAGTAGTTACTCTAACAGTTCATTGCAAATCCAAGAACAACGATATTGGAATATATGATATAATGCGCAGCCGGGGATTCTCATTCACACCCAATTTCTTTTGTGGGGGGATTGTTCTTTTGCGGCTTTGCATGGCCGGCTCGATTTGAGTGGTTTGATATATATAAGGAAAAAGGGACCGGCATGATTGCAACTCGTGTACTTGGAGGATCTCACCCAATGGTCCTTGTAGGCTTAGTGACTCCGGAGTGTATAATGTTTGTTATCCATGGAATCCGAAATCTCTTATGTGAATGTGCGATAGAGAAATATGACATTGTGAACTCATACTTCATGATTTAGATGGAATAAGAATCATCTTTGTTATCTTTTAAATTAATATTCACACATCTCTTCTAATAGCCTCATCATTCATTTTCGATTGGCATCACCTTCTTCAAATCGTCCCTTCGCTTTTTGTCATTCTATTTGCACTTATTACTTATACCGTTTCTTATCTCTATCAAAATGTTTCGATGTAAATCATTTTTAATTAAAAAAAATGCTAATAAGTGTCAAGTCATGTAGGTTTTGAATTTGTAATGCCGTGTCATATCACGAATCAACACCCTTGATATCTGCTATCAAAAGAGATATACGCATAATCTTGAGAGATATGCACTATCAAAAGAAATATATAAATAATCTTGAGAGATATGCACTATCAAAATAGATATATGAATAATCTCGAGAGATATGCAAAATCAAGAAAATATCATAATATTACTAACAAGGATCATGTGCTTATCATAAGGGAAAAAAGAGAGGCTAAACTGACTAGGACTCCTTTACTTTGCTACCAATTTAGGGAAAATTGTAGCATCCGGTGATGCTACACTGGCATCATGAGTATGCACATTTACGAACTTAATTTCCCTCTCCCAAGGAAAAATAAAAATAGAAAACCCAAAAAACACAAAAACAAAAACAATGGCTACGGAGTTTGTCGCATAGGATAGTGTTGGGCATTTGAAGGAAACCGCTATAATAATTGACAGCAAATGATCTTTCTAGGAAAACTTCAATGTGGTCAAACTTGTAATTTTTCATTAGTTTCATCTTCCGCATATAGCCCTCAAAAGGAGAAAAAACGAAAAAACAAAAGCAAATATAAAGTTTGAGAAAAAGAGCATGATTAAATGTGATAATGAAGGTTGGGCATAATGATAATGAAGTTGATTTTCGTTGACTTTATGCTAAGATTGGACTTTCAACTTGGGGGAAATTATGGCTCCAATAAGTTAGGCTCAAGTTGGACTACGGTTCGATTCTTATGAAATTTAACAAATGGGAAATGGAGATGCGGTGAAAGTTTCTTTTATCAGACTTATGTCTTTGATGTGAAGAGTCATTTCAAAGGGAAATGATGTCGTGTAAGTAAATAATTAGGGGTCATGTGGTTCGCGCAAATTCAACAATTTCAAAAAAAAAAAAATCTCCTAATTTTGATTATTTATTCCACTTGGAAAAATGACTTAATAGAAAAATTTTTTATAAATGTTTTATTAATTAATACTTTTTTTAATTACTCATTTTCCTAAATGATATAAAAAAATAAAAGTTAGAAAAATCTTTTTCAAATGTCTTACGTGAAATAAATGCTACCTTATATTAAGATGCTTTATCAGATTCTACACAATATGGTTTTGTGTATATCGAGTGTCATGATGTTGGGTATATCGTTATCAAGCCAATCACTGTTTATCAATCTACAATTTTTTTCCCTAAACAAGGGTTCATGGGGAAAAAAAGTGTCGACACATCATGCTAGTATAAGTTCTCGATATGTCTAGCATTGCCAAATATTTTGCCATTAAACAAAAACTTGATTTGCGGCTGACCTTACGTGAAATTATTTAAAAGTAGATAAGAAGAAAAATAAAAGATAATTGATCGTCCCAAATTAAGAATAAATCGTTCGAAAGAAGAAATGTAAAAGGTAATAAATCGTCCCAAATTAAGAATAAATAGTTCGAAAGAAGAAATGTAAAAGGTAATAAATTCGTCCCAAATTACGAAAGAAGAAAAATGAAAGGTGATTGGTTGCTGCAAGTTGGCGAGCTCCAATATTTACCATTCTCCAACCTTAAATGGCTTCAAGATGTTGTTATTGGAGCACTGTAAGCCACGATGATGAAGACATCAACTTCGCTCAGGTTTATTTATTTATTACTTGTAACTAGCTGTGTCAGAAGTGTTATGGGCAGGACGCGTGTTGAGATCAACAACTATTTGCCACTTGGAACTACTCTAACAGTTCATTGCAAATCCAAGGAAGACGATTTTGGAATCAAGGACATAACGGACTCCTGGGGATTCTCATTCGAGCCCAATCCCTTCGGGAGGACATTGTATTTTTGCAGCTTTTCATGGCCGGGTCGATTTGAGTGGTTTGATATATATAAGGGAAATAGGGACTGGACTTATTGCCAATTGTGTATTTGGAGGATCTTTCCCAATGGTCCTTGTAGGTTTAATCCTGACTCTGCAGAGTTCGATGATTGTTATCCATGGAATCCGAAACCTCTTATGTGAATGTTTGATTGAGAAATATGATGTTGTGAACTCATACTTCTTGATTTGGATGGAATAAGAATCATCTTTGTTATCTTTTAAATTAATATTCACGCACGTACGTTTCTCTTCCAATATCCTCATTATTCACTCTCGATTGGCATCTCTTCTTTAAATTGTTGTCCTTTCGCTTTTTGTCATTCTATTTGCACTTATTACTTATACCGTTTCTTATATCTATCAAAATGTTTCGATGTAAATTTTTTTTAATAAAAAAAGGTTAATGAGTGTCAAGATGTTAGAACAATAAGGTGAGATTGTCATAATCCCAATATGAAGGAGATCATGTTGGGTTGTGCAATAGCTGTGTTGTTATCAAATTAATAATTGTAACTCATTGTATTGCTCTCTGTTAAAGGATAATGAATCATTCCCAAAGAAAATAAGATGAATTGGGGATTTACCACTGTGGATGTAAGTTTCCAAGGATTATACCCTTGATCCTATGAACTATGTTAACGATTGAGTGTTCCTCTTTTCTTCTTTTATCTCTCTTCTATACATGATCATCATTAAAACGCAAGCCATGTTGGTTTTGAATTTGTAACGCTTTGTCACGTCACGAATCTAACATACAATCAATTCTTTGGGAGAAGCAGGCAATTCCTATTGGTGCAACTTAACCTAATATGCTTACTATCCGATTTGAGTGTTGCTATTAGCGAGTTTGAAGTTATGGATACATGATATTGCCACTTTTTATTGATATATGATATGTAATTGAAATGTTACCGTATCGTCGGAATTGCTCCCTCAATGAAATATCTTTCAATGAAAGTCATTTTTCGGCTTTTAGTTAATGAAACCAAGTTTTGCGATAACTCTGAGAAGAAAATATCATATGCACAAGTGAAAGGAATCAACACCTTCAAATTCGAATTGAATTATACAGACGCGAACTGTGCTGTAATTTAATCAATGACAAGGTCCAGGAGGTACACAAATGATAAAGTAAGTAGACTCTGCCGGAATTTAATTAATGACACAACCTGAAAATATACAGATACTACGCTTGAATTTAATCGACGATGCAAATTAGAAAATTACAACAAGGGAAATTGAAAGTACAATGCAGGAAAGCTAAAGATAATTGAAAGATAACATTACCTCCATGTTCCTATACCTCCACAAGCCTTGCATCCATGTTCAAAAACGTTTGCCTTTGTCGTATGTGAACTGCTCCGCGATCTTTTTCCTTGTAATGATGGTTGTCCCATTATATTGTTTTCTAGTGATAACTGTTCCCTCTAAAATTCATGTCCTTGACCCAATGTCTCCAATAATTATTCATCGTCGATGCTTAAATCAGTGGCTACTGACTATCCGTAATCGTGTTTCGATAACTGGATACGTGGCATTGATAAATACCAATGTCGATTAATACATGTTAATCTCTATGTCTATCGATAAGCTGGCATGTGTGCAGAAACGCTCATGGTTTCGCTTGTGTTGTGGCATGGTCTTTTGCTAGAGCGAAAGTCAAAAGCAAGGAGCAAGGGGGGAGACAGATGAGTGCAAAAAATGACATTAATCTCTCGTGAGGATATTCAGACTGAGCAGGATGTGAGATTCTTCCTTTTGTTCTTTCAATAAATTGGATGTCGCCGTCAACCTCAAGTAGCAATTTCAGTGGATCGAACTGACAAACTCTATGCTTGGGCCAAAAATAACGAAGTGAGAAGTGGTTTTCTGCAGCCAAGCCCAAAACTTGAATTAAGCTTTAGTACTCTGTAGGCTGATCCTAGTATTTATGCTTACATTTGGTCCTCAATGCTTGTCTCAATAGAAGATATAGACTAAAGGAAAGAGAGTTGAAATCAAGTACTCTCTAGGATCCTGATATAGCCAGTGCTATCATGGGAACAGTCAATCTAAATTGCGGCTGTGCAAATGAGAAACTTTACCCAGGCAGGAGAAGTTTCACTCTGCTCCATCCAGGTCCTCGTAAAAAACGAACAAGGACTGAAGAATGACCGCGCTATTGTTAGTTGGATCCTCGAGAGAATCGATTCCAGGGTTCTTCCAAACAAGGCGTTGCATACAAACATCATCGTAAGCTTCGACGTTCAAGCCCGATGGGAGAAACAGTTCTGTCTCATCCACGAATCTCTGTTCGTCTCGTTAGGAAAGGCCTTGCGGCATCACATAAGAGCATTTTGAACTCCCTTTGTCTCTCTTAGGTGCCTTGAGCTTCCTTTGGCCATCCCTGTAAGGAAAGGTTAGAGTCCTGGTAAAAGGTCCAAGGGATAACTAGTAGAATTTTACCGAATGAAGCAATGGCCACTGCGAGGTTCACGGAAGATTACTTTCTCAACGACAACTCAATTGTACCAAGCATATGGTGCACCGCTACACCGACATATTCTTCCTGGACATAACAAAAGATGAAGGCTCTAGTTCCACGTACGGATTGTACAGAGAGAGCATGATATCGATCACCAAACTTGGACTTCACTGCTATCATTCAACCAGTGCCATCGAAGTAACTACCACATGTGCATGAGGTTTGGTGGTTCTTGGCGTCTAGTCTACCATTCTACATGACTTACGACTAGATCACGTCAGTTGTAAATCAAAGCAGGTTAAAGTTAAAGGCAGTGAGCACAGATCAACTACAGCAAGATTGAAGCACAGGGTATACAATGGAGGCAACCATTACCTAGACAATACTTATCTAGGCACACTCCTTCCTTCATAGCCTTTTGTTGCTGGAAACCACGATCCCTGACATGCTGCATAAAAGCCAGCATTACAAGCAGGCCAGTACTCCTTCTCAGCCAATATCTTTCCTGCACACTCGAGCATTCGCGTTCAACCAAGTAACCACGGAGAGTAGCACAGAAGTTGTTATCAATTACCTCATTCTTCTTTACCGTGCAAATCCAAATAAATGGACTGTGCATTAGTGTTGAGCATATTATCTGTACATAAGACGTAAATAAGCTGCAGTGCTGACTGCATTCAGCCGGAATCGTCCTCGTTCAATTCATTCATCCCAGGATGCTAAAAAGAGTTTGATGGCCACCCCTGTGCAAAGGAAGAACAAATATATTTACATTTTACTAAACAATATGCCTAGATAAGTATTTGTCTCAATCTCAAATAATCCCACATCACTGGCTTGCATTGCCTTAAGGACGCAAATCCAATGATATAGCTGCAAATTGGACAAAACCGCGCCGACACAGTTCACGTCTCGCAATTCAGCCAAACGACAAACCTGCCAAGCAGATGACAATCATATAGAGGGAAAAGTCCCAACTTGCACGAACGAATAAATTACACAAACAACGAAAATGAGAAGAACACGAGCATGTGCACGTGGAATCACAGACTGACCTGATTTGACTCATCGTCCTCCGCTGCATCAATTCGAGACAGCGATTGTTCCACCGCGGCATTGTTCCCTTCTCGGGGTTTCTGGTGTTTGATTAAGGTCAATGCAGCCGCCATCACCAGCAGCATCGTCGGCGTCGGCATCGATGTCGCCTTCGTTGGCAATCTCAAAGCTGTCGGAGTCCCACATTATCTGAAGTTTTGGTCAGCAACGTCCTCAGGTTTAGGTTTCAGGTTCCAGTTCAATCCCCATTAACGTGCTTTTGGCCCTTCTGGTAAGAACATATGAGTTTTATATTAAAGCAGTCCTCAACGAAAAATTCTTTTATTTTTTTTATAAACTACAAAAAATAAAAAATAAACAATAAAATCTTTTGTAATGTTGGTAACTAATTACATTTAGATCTACAAAAGACTAGAGTCCTATAATTTGTAGCCACGCAGGCATCATATGGTATTATGCGCACAATCACATCTGCGGCGTGTGTGCTTGGGAGACGCGTCTTCACTTCATATGCTTGAAAACAACATGGAAACCTTAACTTCGCCCTCAATAGTCGAGCTCCGATGATATGCTTAAATCAGATGCATCGACCTCGAGACTACACGGATCACAATGTCAAGAGACTCCATAGGCAAGTAGCAACATCAATGAGAATCATAATCGTTAACATCACACAATAGGTTGGAACTTACACTTTGGCATATCATATGCCCAATTGGGAAAAGGAGAAGACTGATGAGATGCCATTCAAAGATCAGTTTACAGGCGTTTGCTCCTGCAGCAACAAACGAATGATGGAGCTGATGACTTCATTGCTAGCAGACGTATCTTGAAAAACATGGAACAGCATCAGCACGATGTGTAGTACCATGTGCTGTAACAAAGAAGTAGAGATCAGAAGAATACTCTACAATCCGCATCTATGCACATCTAACGAAATTGTATAGTAGATTCTGAGCACAAAATATGGATATCCTTGCTACTAATTCTTGCAATTCATGTGAAGAAAATGTATGATGCTTGTATGTCCGTATCTCCAGTGAAACGTCTTCAGCTTTAAAGAAAGCAATAAAGGTCATTTCTTCCAACTTTTGGTGCAATAGACCAAAAACGAGTGTTGTCCACATTTTGCTGCGGACATCATTGCACAGGTTTCTTGTGCAATGATTTGACTGTGTAACGGCCAATCTAAATACATCTTATGAACAGTTAAGTGGTCAATGCTATACAAGGCAAATGGGGTCGACTTTGTCACGGTCAGCATTAGGATAAGCTTCCAAATTCAGACAAAACTCATTTTGAATCAAAGGCCTGTTCTATAGAGGCTATCTCCTATGACGATCTAAAGAGTTGCAAAAGTAGATGCATCAGTATGGTCTTGGCTTGCAACTTCACACTGAACTCTTGCCTTTAAGAATAATGATGAGCTTATCAGATTGTTGAGGAAAAGTACTAAGCAATGAGGAAAAGGGAATAAGCCATAATTCCATCTTTGGCATTATTGCCCCGAGAAAAGAGAGGTTTGTGGCAAACGACGGAATTACTATTATCAATTGTACTTTAAGTAGCGTAGTATCAGATTGCTTACTTTTTCAGATGATACCTCATTATTTATTTTGGAACTCACTAAATCTTGTTTGAGCATGCTTTGAAACATGAGAAGTTTGGATAGACTTAGAAGCATAAGTGAACATGCCACAAAGATAAATTCATTCAAAGTTAGCGCAGGTAATGACTTAGAAGGTGTTGACTTGAATTGAAATTACGTCTCCAGTTCAAAGTAATCTCGAATTGGAGGCCACACCGACCACTCTTTCGGAGTCTTATTCGATCTACATGAATGTATTGATTTATGTGCATTTAGGCCTATTTGACAATATTGAGGAATCAATGCTAAGAACTTAAGAACTCATCTTTGAGTGTTAATAATCTTTAAGTGTTAAAATAGAAAGAAAGAGTTGTTTGACAATCACTAGATATCTATAATTTTTTTTCCAAACATAGATTCATGACCATGATTGGAAGGTCCTAACCATATAGTTGACAAGATTATAATTATCACCAATTATATCTTCTACTAAATGAATTAGGTGACCCCCTTTTTTTACGTATTAGATAAGTTAAATTGTAGCTTAATTGAATCTTTTGAGTCTAAACTAATTAGAGTTATCTAACAAGCTGAATAGCATTAATTGCTGAATCTTTAATTTTCAGCACAAGAGCTATCAGCTGGTTGACAAGTCAAAAGTTTGAATATCACGTGTTCTTGAAAATAATAATAAAAAATGCCACTAATTTGGTATGTGGTTTCTTAAAGAAGGTTTTGTATTGATTAATAAGGGATTAGGTATTGTTTTACATTTTTGCTTCGTAGCTGTTCGATGGCCCGTCTGCCTTGCTACACGCATCCATAAGTCTAATCTAATGGACAAGGTCTCTTATGTACTTTACTTGTATGTATTCCTTTGTTATCTTAGCTATTAATTAACGTTTGAGCATTTAAAAAAAATAATTTTATAATAGCTATTACACCAAGTTATATTATACTGGACACAAATCATAATATTCAGGTATACACAAATTAAACGGTACAAATAGACTTAATTGTCAAAATTCATCCATGAAATATATGCTAACTCAATGTAAATTTGGATACATTACACTTGCAAATATAAATAATTGATCCAAGGCTTAAAAAATTCCGATAATGCAGATGCACTAAACCACTTAACTTCGTTTGGGCACACTTGACGCCGAAGTAGGGGGCAACATAAACACTTATTTGGTGCTTCATCAATCTCAACCGTCATAAATTGAATTTGAAAAGGCCACATAAGATAAATTAGATAAATGGGAAAATGACACAAACAGTCCATGAACTTTGATTTAATGTGCAATTTGATCATTAAATTTTTAATTTGTTCAATGTAGTCCCTGAATTTTAACCCAATGTTTAATGTGGTTCTTGGACTTTTAATTTGTTCAATGTGGTCCCTAAAATTTTGATACATTTTCAATATAGTCCCTAAATTTTATAAAAATGTTCAATGTAGTCCTTCCATTAATTCAAGTTCAGGGACGATATTGTACATTTTCATATAGTTCAAGGACTAAATTGAACATGTACCAAAAATTTAGGGACCACATTGAATATTAGGCTAAAGTTCAAGGAATACTTTGAACAAATTATAAGTCGAGGGACTAAATTACACATTGAGTCCAAGTTCATGGATTGTTTGTGTCATTATCGCTAGATAAATTGTTAGGCATGTACATTCTATATGGGCACTACCACTCCTCCTTTCCCTAGGAAACTCATCTCTAACTATAGTACATGTGAAAGCATCTTTTTTCCTCGGTCACCGAGCAGTCCCATCTTTGTCCTAAACCAATCGAGATGAAGTGAATTATTCTATGGTTTCCATGGCATACTTTGAACATTGCTATTCTGCACTTGCGGTTTGACTATACTGAGTTATTTTCATGAACTTGTAGCTTTAATTTTTTATATGATAGAGAATTAATTCCAAGAAGTCTATTGAGAAGATGTGGAAAGGGTCTCTCGAACACGATGCTTCTCAATGTTCGAGGCGGTTCCTAGACCATAGAATTAGAAATGCGTGATAATGACATCGTTTCATTGTTTAAAGGCTGGCAGGAATTCACGGAACCATACTCCATTAATCATATTCACCTCATAGTTTTTGAGTATAAAGGGGCCGGGACTCCTCTTTTCGCCTAATATTGTTAAATCAAAATGCTTAAGAGATATTGTGATGGCGTACAATTGTACAAAAAGGCAATCGCTAATTTAAACTAAGCATGCAATTCAATTAAATTGTGTACATTCTGAAGGCCACTCAATGCGTTCTATTAACTAAGATTAGCCTAGATCGGCATGTAGTTGCAAAATTACAGCACCCCGTCATTCGATTTTCACTCCCCTGCAAGAGCATTTTAGTATTTCAAAACATAGCAATATAGACCAATCGCATAGCGACATAAAAAAAGATAATCAAAATATGAGGAATAGAAAAGGTGTGGTAACAATTAATAGAGAGGAATGGTGAATAAAGAAAGTTCCGTTCATGGATCAAGCTAGGCCCAGTCGCAAACAAGGTCGCATGCATGCTGGCAATGAATCAGGGCACTTCTCGATTAAACTAAAAAGATTGAATTTCTCGATGAAAGATCAAAGTTGTATCGATTTTCATGCATGCGCTTAGGATATAGTTTGCTAATTCATGTAGGTCGCGATGACAAAAATAGAAGTTTGGACATCCTTAGCATCCACAATTGCCCATAATCAAAATTAGATTGGTCACTTCGCTTGTCTAGTAGCTAAGGGGTTAGAGTTAAAAATAAAAGAGAAAAAGAGGGCATCAGAACAGAGTTTTATCAGAGGGAAAATCCCATGCATCCCACACCAACCTGTTCCCCACGTGGCGAGGTCCCATTTGCGGTGGCAATCTTTGGTGGACCCCCTCCCCCCTCTCATAAAACTTCGTAAAAAAAAGGAAAATTTGAAACCTGACAAATATCTCCCGCGATTCGTCTACCCTGCATCCAATCCCACACAGAGCGGATCTTGACCTCTAATGTCGTCCGTCCGATCAGCCCGGCTCTCAAAGGTATTCCAAATCAAGGGTCAGTTATCCATATCCAGATTTATTCCCTACGCCGCAGGTACACAGTAGGACCGGGCCCACTTATGGGTGAGATTCCAGGACTTCTTTTTGGCGCGGAGGCACTTCAACTTCGCATACAAAAATCACAAATTGATACAAATATATCTGGACAATTATACACATAAATCACAAACTCCTCTTTTATTTTAAATCGTCATTTTGATAAATTGCTTCGGTTCTAAGGAGAGATTGGGCCAATGTGAGAGAATGAACTTGATCGATTGATCAGAATTGTCGTCTTCTTCTTCCTCGTCTTGGTCATAAATCGAGCTTCATCTATTTGTGGCTGGATTCATTCTTTCCCTTCTTTTCAATTGCGAAACTTATCCCTCTCTTTTGTCAATTTCAGCATCCCCATCTTCCACAAAATGCCTCGATTGGAACTTTTGCTTATGGTGATCCGTAGGTGGCAAGCAATCATGCCCGAGTATGGGATAATTTCCGTGCCATTA